TTTTTTTTTTTTTTTTTTTTTTTTTTTTCTCGCTCACCGCTTTTTTCCTTTGGGAGGTATAACTGGATCTGTTCTCTGTTACGTAGACGCAGTCTACGGGAAATATTTGAGTAGTTTGTCCCCACTCGTTGGCAGATGCACTTGCATTTGAGATGTCTCTGTTAGAGCATGCACACGTGTGGGTATAAAAAGGTATGTCGTATGACACGTGGTTGGGGAGTTTGCAAGCGCAATAGTAGACCATTGAAATATTGTTTCCACCTGCCCATTCATATAAAAAAAAAGTAAAAGGTAAAAAGTATAAGGCGACAAAATAATGCACAAATAATGTTCACGAGGGATACGGATGAAAGCGAATTGGAAGACGAGGGTGGTGATAATTCGTTTCGGGGGGACACAGGAGATGATGAGATAAATGGGATGAGTGATACCGGTACCTCCGAGGTGGAAGTTCAGACGGTAATACGTGGAGGGGATACACCCTACGGGAAAACCAGAAATGAGGATAAGGCGGATGCGGCTCGGAAAGGGAAAGATGCAACGGTGAGAATGGACGTAGAAGATTACACAGATAAAGAGACGCATCCTGCACAGGGGGTGTCGAGTGAGGATCCCTTCGAGGAGGTTGCCTCCCCCATCATCCAAGGTGGGAATAAGGCTTACGTGAAAAACGAACAAGTGGACAGCATCCATGTGAAGGCGAGAAAGGTAGGAAGCGGTGGCGAAGAAGAAGAAGAATTACCGGGGGGGGGGGAAGCATATGGGTATGAAAGTGATGAGAATGACACGAGTGGAAGGGATCAAAATGGAGATGGCCATGTTAGTCTTAGTGATGCAGGGATTAATGGAAATGGCGACCCCAGTAGTATAGTCCCTGAAGACGTATTGATACGACGAGAGGGTGAAATTGGGGACAGCCACAGGAGGAGGGGACAGAACTTTTCAGGCGAAGGATTATATACATTTGAAGATGAGGAAAGGCAGCACAATCATGTGATGAAAAAGGGTTACGGCAAAATGATTAACGACAATATAATTGACACAATGGTACACAAAACTTTTAATAATATAAAATACGACACGTCCAATGATGGCGCTCTTGTGGGTGATGCAGATGGTGCAGAGTTGGGAAGTGGTGGACAGAACATCCGCAGGCATAAGAGATGTGCTCCTCTGTTTGACGACGCGGGTGTCAAGAAGGAGGGGGAAAAAAAAAAAGTGAAAAAATATGAGCACGAAGCACGTGTAAAGGGGGAGGAAGGCGCTGAGTACCAAGTGGTGAGAAGTAAGGGGGGAAGCCAAGCCAAAGTGCGAACGAAGGAGGAGCCAAGAGGGGGGGAAGTCGAGACCACCTCTACTGCAAATCCGTCGGGGGAACCATCCAGGACCGATAACTTTCACCTGTACTGCCAAAATCACGATAAAATTTTCGGAGACGGAAATGGTAGGGATTTCTTCAAAAGTGGTACTGGAGGAATGACGGGCTGCGTGCATAGCGGCGACATGCACAACGGTGACACGGGCAGTGATGGTGTGGATGCACCTGATAGTAGTAGTAGCCCCCTGGGGAGGGAAAAAAGTGAACACATCTGGAAGAACGAATTGGGTGAAATATCAAATATAATTTACGACACAAATGAGCATGATCACCCCATGGAGGAAGAAAACCAAGTGGGCGACAAGGGCGGGACAAACCAAGTGGGAGGCAATGGTGGCGAACACAAGATGATATACCCTTCAATTTATGAAAAGGATAAGAAGGAATGGTTTTTAGCAAATAGCAATGACGAGTGGCTGGTGCACAAGTTGTGTGACTGGCTTTACAACCCTAAGGACAGGCTGTACTTTAATATAAGAACGCAGGGGATTTATTATGTGAAGGATGGGTCTTTTCTTAAGTTTGAGAATTCGTTTGAAGAAAGGGGGGACGTGAGTGTGAGTCGTAGTGGTAGTGATGATGTGCACAAAAACAGCTTCTCGTTTGAAGTGAATTCTGATGATCCATTGTTGAATAAAAAAGGGAAGACATGTAGTAAGGCGGATGGGGGGACTGTGTACAGGAACATGAACGACATGGTCAATGATCACAGCGTGCGTGCGAACCCGTGTGTGTCTGTTGAGGAGAGTGGCAGCATGGGAAGCAACTCCAGTCGTATGATTAGTCGCAGTAGTAGCGGGGGCCGCGGCACGGCGGCGGAGACTGGAAGCATCATTTTGAGGGGTGACAAGAGGGAACAGAGGAATGGCGTGTTGACGAGGGGAAGTACCTCGAGCGAGAGCGCGGCGCGGGAGGATTACTCTGGAGATAATCGCTCCTCCGATAATCGCTCCTCTGATTGTCGCTCCTCCGATAACCGCTCATCCGATCATCGCTCCTCGGATCGTCGCTCGTCTGGCAGGCGGCCCGCCTCCCGAGAGAACGCCGAGGCGAACGACGAAACGGTGGAAGAGTTCAGCATGGTGTTGGAGGACGACTTGGTGTGCGGGACGTATAGCAAAATGGGTGACCACAACAGATGTGAGAATGAGGACTTTTACGTGACCAAGGACATACTGGATCTGAATAACGTGTCGGAGAGTGACGGGTTGTGTTTCTTCAGTGGGGTGTTTGATGGACACGGCGGATCCACTTGTGCAAGGTATGTCATGAATCACTTGAAGACGAATGTGATAGCCAAATTTAGGCAGTCCTTTTTAATTACTTGTAAAAAGCAAACTAATGAAAAGGAAACCAAATTAAATGATTTGAGTGTTGAGATAAGGGCTTTATACGATAGTTGTATTAAAGGGTTCGATATGACCGATAAAAATTATATAGAGCTAGCTAAGAAGAATAATTGTAATGATGGTTCCACAGCTTGTGTGGTGTTGATTTATGGACCCGATGATGATGGGTCGTTGAAGGTGTTGTGTGCAAACTGTGGGGATTCCGGTGCACTCATCTGTCACGATAGAAAGCCGGTCAAACTGTCACTACGGCATAAACCGGATTTGCAAGAAGAACGTGTGAGGATTCTTAAATGTGGAGGGATCATAGCTAATATAAATGGGATTAACAGGATCATTACTAAACATAAGGTGAAAGGACAGACAGGTCGAGAGAAAACTTTTTTGGCCTTGTCCACCTCTAGGTCCTTTGGAGATATTTCATACAAGGTGCCTAGGAAAATTGTTTTGTGTAAACCTTTTATAAGTGTTTACACCATTGACTTTGACCTGGATTCCTTTTTGGTGTTGGCCACTGATGGGATTTTGAACGTGTTGACTGATAAGGAAATAATTGATATTGTTTGGAGGAACATACATAGGAAACCGGAGGAGGCTGCGGAGGAGGTGGTGCACGAGGCTTCGAGGCGCGACTCCACGGACGACAAGACCTGCACCGTCATTTTTTTTTATTGGAGGAAGGACATCTTTCGCGGCGAGTCGGAGGATGCTTCCGTGGAAGCGCCTCCGCGGGAGGAGGCCCCTGGCGAGGTGAGCGATGGGCTAGATGGGCGGTTCATGCCCGCGTGTTCCCGTTTCCCTCACTTAAACACCATCTTTTCGCCCATATCCCCATTCACTTATCCCTCTTCCCCCCCCCCCTGCAGGACATCAACATGTTTTCCGAAGTGTTCTGACCCAGGGAGCGTCAACTTGGGCGAATTTTTAAGGCGGCGTGGGAGAGCGGCCCTTGCTATGTAACTCTTCCTCAGTTGGTCGCGCACAAGCTGTCACCCAAAGCGCGAAATTTGTTTTAATTGCCCCTTGTTTTTTTTATGTACTTATTATCACCATCATAGTGTGTTGTTGAAGTTTTTTTTTTTTTTTTTTTTTTCTCCCTTTTAGGGCCAACGCAAATTTTGAACAAATTGCAAATAAAAAGAAAAAAAAAAACAAAAAAAAAAAATTATAAAGCCACACTTAACTGTGTTTTGTCTTGGTGTTGCCCATTGGCTACCCTACCTTGGCGCGCCATGTCTTTTTTTATAATCACCATGACACATTATGCAAGATGATACACGTTGGACCTCGCCGCACGTGTACTTCCCTCCCCAGCACGCACACACAACATACACGTATACGCACACACATGCGCCCTGATTTATTGCACGCGTTGCTACATATGTAAGGCCACTTCAAACCGTTGCAAGCTGTGCACGTTGTAGCGTCTAACTTGGCAGTGATTTTGTCCTTCCCTTGACCAATCACTTGTCCGATAGCTCCTTCAGCTTTTGGATCTGCGTGAGGATATAATTTTTGAGCAGGGATTTGTGAAAAGTGACGATGGCTCCTCCTTTAATGTAGGAATAATTTTGTATGTTTTTAATTAAATTTGAAATTTTTTCATCTTGCTTGGTTTGCTCGTAGCCAAATATTTTATTATCTTTTAACTTGAGCAACCTCTGATATAAGTCATTATTGGTATCCTTAAAGCCGAAAATAATTTCGTGTTGACTTTGTTGCACGTAGAGGAAGGACGATTTATGGTCTGGGTTTAAAATAATATTTTCGTGCAGCTCTCCACATTTATAATCTTTGCTTAACATTTTATACAAATTGATCAGGGACTGTTTATTTTTTAAATCAAATGGCATGAATTTGATCACTTCATTTTGGGCCTTTTTCATGGTGTTCGCAAAAATGATTTGCCTTTTTTTTTTGGAGGGGCGGGGGGGGGGGGGGGGCTGTGGCTGCCCTCGTGTCTGCTCTGTTGTAACTTGAGAACGGAATGTGTATATTTTTGCCGGCGCGTCAACTTCACTTGGACAGCTGCCTTTTGTGCGGTGTATATATGGGCCTACTATTGTACATGTCACCCTGCGTGCGTGTAAAGGTGTACTCTTAGTGGTCGATCGCGACGAGGGAGAAGTTGTGCATATGAATGGCAGCCTCGCACATTTACGCGCACTGCCAACGCGCACTGCCAACGCGGCTACCAACAGTGCTACAACAAACAATGCTGCGAAATATTTTTGCTCCTTTTTTTTTTTTTTTACACTCGCTTACGTGGCGAAAAGGAACTGTTTTGCAAAGGTGATGAAAATGTTGAAGCGGGAAAAAAAAAAAAAAAAAATGCACACTTTTTAAAGCGCCCCTTGGAAAATATCGCCAAAAAAAAAGGAAAAAAAAAACGTCCTAAAATGAAACGAAGAAATGTAAAGAAAAACAAAACGTGTAAAACCATCTCCTGTTGTCATATATCAACAAACGACAAATTCTTCATCACGTTCATGAAGAAAAAAAAAAAAAAAAAAAAAAAAAAAAAACGGAGATGGGGCCGACGACGTAGCAACAAATTTTTATGTCCGCATATGACATTAGTGCCTATGCATTTTGCTCGTCCCCCTCGGAGGGCGACTTGACCGATTTGGTTATCCAATCTAAGTAGTCCTGAACGGGAAAAAGGGGGAAAATTCAATTTGTAAAAATATGTGAGCAGAAACGCCCCTCCTTTGGATGTCTTCTTCTCATTTGGGAGCGAAAGGGACGGCCACCAGAAGTTGCAGGGTGTCACGTTTTTACATACGTAGACATGTGTAGGAATATGTAGGGGTATATATATATATATATATAATGTTTCCTTTTTTGTGCGCATTCGATGGGGAAGCGTTTCCAAGCGGCGATTTCATTCGTGCGCGCGCAGGTACGCCAAATGCATGCTGTTATATGCGCAAATGGGTACACGACGCACAAATTCGTACACGTGGTGCTTATCCGCACCAGCTACTCTAAACCAACCTTGCTGCCCTGATGTATTGGGACGGAAATGACCTGAACAGGGAGGGGAGGCGGACATCAAATAGGGCAAAATGTGAAAAGTATAAAAATAGAGAGAAGGGAAATGGGTACAACGGTAAATAGTCCGACAGGCCTAAGGAGCACACCCCCCACTGTTGACCCACCTCTGGCACTTCGTACGGATGGTTTGCTTTCACCGTGTCCACAATTTTGGGGAATAAATTCTTCCTCGTTTTGATCATCATGAGGACTTCGTTATCACGCTGCGCGGGGGAACCAAGTGAGAATTTATATGTACAGCGTGGGGGAGTGGCCAGGATGCACACCACGCACATGTACATAATACACATAAGAAACAATTAATGCACACACGCGCGCGCGCGTTCGGTGACAGTACAGCTATCTCGCCCTTCCAGTGATATAAGCTTAGGACGCCGGGGATGATGTTTACACAGCTGGCTAGCTTATCTTCGAGTAGCACATGTGCAATCTACAAAGTTGGAAAAGCGTGGAGAACACAAGGGGGGGCATGAAAAACCGCGCAGCGCAAATGGGCATACGTGTTGCAGGTCCACGCTGTGCTCATTTTGTGTGTACATCGCGCTGGGGGAATGGATATGTGGGGCGAGAATGTTACAGGGCAATATAGGGACTCTCTACTTGGTTTTTTTTTTTTTTTTTTTTTTTTTTTTTTTTCCCCCATATTAGTACTGCCTCGTATAGAACTGACCTTTTCCGCCACATCGCTTCCAGGGGCGGTAACATACACAGCTATGAAGTCTGTGGGTTGTTCCATTTTGTTGTAGACGAAGGATCTCGCACAAGATGAATTCCTTGTGTCTCTCCCAAGGCAACCTTTCTTTAACAAGCTTTGCTTTGTAATGTTATTTACAAAAAGGGAATACAAAAGTTTATTCTGACACCGCTTCGTTGTCGCTGCAGCTAGCGAAATGAGCATGGTCAGGAATGTCAATGGGCGCATGAATGGTGTGATTAGCGTTGGGGGGGGGAGGAGGAAACAGGCATGTACACCGTGAGGAGGAAATTCTCGTAACGCAGCGATTTGGCGCGGCATACATACGCGCGTACAAGATCGGAGAGTTACATTTATATAAAAGTGTATGTGCTATATATATATGTGCTTATGTGTGTGCGGTCAACAGGTATCGGCAAGGCAACACGTTTTTGAACGAGTTCCTTCATGGGAGATGGCTGCCACATAAAGCCCTATATGGCCATATGTTGCTCAGGCAGAAAAGAAGGAAAAGGCCTCCTCCCTCTTTGTAAGGCCGCGGTAGGAGTTTCAAAACTCTGCACAGCAGAGGTCGCAATGTAGCTCGGCACATTAATGTGTTCCTTGTAAGGCGAAGAAATAATCGACAGCAAATTGATACAATTCCATGTGATCTTTTTTACACCCGCTTGACATTTTAAACGTATATTTATTTATTTATTTTTATTTATTTTTTTTTTTTTTTGTGCTGACTGAGGTATGGTGAAGGGGGGAAGGTTTCCGCTACGCTGCTTCGTTGGATTCTTGCTGAGGCCAGTCGCCCTGTTTGTAGTTCCACCACTCTGACTCTGCAGGGGAAGCATTATCCAAACGATAGAAAAATGGGTTTAGAGTTTATCTAGTGGGGACACATTTGGGTCGTGTGCGACGGGGGGAATGCAGGCGTGTATATAAACATGTGTACATATAGGTGTACGCATACTCGCTCCACTGTTTTTTTTTTTTTTTTTTTTTTTTTTTTTTTTTTTTTTTTCGCTCTCCCTCTATCTCTTTATCTCTTTATCACTCTTGTGTAACCTATGCTGTCCCCATCCGTGTTATCCTCCGAGTCGTTCAGGGGAATGAGTGTGGGCGCAACCCCTCGGACGGTGAGGGGCAAATGCTCAAAATGGAACTTGTCATTTTTTTCGAATTTGTTTTTTTTTTCTGCAATTAGTGAGGACAATGCCTGGTGTGTAGCATCGGTTAGGTCGCTAGCGGACGAGGAAACGTCGAGAAACTCTAACGAACAATAGGGCATGTTAAGTGAATTAATGAGGAGAGTCAACCCTTGGCTACTAATGCGACACCCAGAAACGTTCAGATATTTGAGCCCTTTAAAACAGTTGAACGAAAATGAATCACAGGAATGGTACAAGTCTTCATTCTTGTTATATATTAAGTTTCTCCGTTTTTCATGCAAGAAGAGCAGTTTGGACGTTTCGCTAGCTCTGTTAAGGGATGGGACACCGATGCAAGAAAAGAAATCATTCTGTTCGTTGTGTCGGTTGGTGATGAACTCTTTAAATTTGTGTATTATTTGAGAGTGGTCATTTTTGGAGTTCGTTTTTTTTGCTTTGGTTAGATGGACAGGGATTGAGCTTCCTTCGCTCGAGTTGGACGTTGATTTTTGCGAGTCAACTTCGGGCAATTCTTCCCACGCACGTGGGGATTCACAAGGCGGGTCAGGACAAGTGTCACGACAAGTGTCACGAGGGGGGCTACTAGCATGCCGTACCTCACCTTGACCGCCTAAATTATCCTGTTTGTCCACTTCAACCCTGTGAAGAGTGCGCGGCATGGTATGGGAGCCCTCTTTCCCCCCAAGTTGCTTCCTCAACTTAATTGACCTTTCTACAATCCTACACTGCATCATCAACGCGTCGGCAATGTAAGCACATGAAGAGTCCGTCAAGTCATTATTCGACAGGGAAATTTCTGCAACGGTGAGGTTGGAAGACAAAGTCTCGGAACAAAAGTGTTTTAAATTTCCATCCGTAATTCTGTTATTTGATAAATTTATAATTTTTAATGTCTGATTATTTTTTAACGCTTCGCTGAGTTTGTTCATATCGGAAATCTGATTATTCGAAAAATCAATCGCTGTTATGTTGTTTTTATTTTTTTTTAAAAATTCACAGAAAAGTGCAAATCCATGATCATTCACATTATTGTTTGCAAATGACAAAACGGATAAATTGGGCGCTTCAGTCAGTTGATTAACCAACTGTTTAAGTAGTTCATTTCCATGTTCCTCTTTCTGTGTTCCATTTTGATCAAAGCATATATTCGACAAATGTAATTCTTTTAAGTTTAATTGGGATGTAAATAAATTCTTCATGTGCTCGGAGAATAAGGCGGAAGCAATGCCATTTTCAGAAATGTTTAAACTTTGTATGTGTGTGCATTTTTGAAAAAAGGAGGATAAATTCACATCACTCAGTTGGACATTTTTTATGTATAATTTGATTTTATCATTGTTATCGTTATTTAAGACTTGACTTAATTTTAAGAGAACTGAGGGGCCCAAAAAGTTGTCGGACAAATCCAGTTCACGTACATTTGTGTGCATATTTTTTATGGCATTTTTTGCCTGACTGTTCAGGTGAAAATTGGTGTTTATTTGTTCTGCCCCTGAGGAGAATTCTCTTTTGGACATGAATTTTTTGGAGAAAAATTCTTCTATAATTTCGTTGGCGCCGTCGGACTTGATCAGGTTGTTAGACAGATTTAGGGAGACCAGTCGGGGAAGGTACTTGAGACACTTGGCCAGGATTTTTGCGCTATCCTTCAGGGAGGGGGGGAGAATGGCGTGGTGTGTGCAAAGTGGGTAAAAACATTGTTACTTTTTTTTTGCTACTTTTCTTTTTGCTGCTTTGTTTTTGCAGCTTGGCAGCGTGTCGTCGCGGGCGCCCCGCGCGGAGCGCAGCTCATTCTAACATTAGTCAAGTCGTTGCTAGATAAATTAAGCGTAACCAAATTCCTGCTTCTCAGGACGCAGGGGATGAGGATGGACATACCCCAGTCGGAGATTTTTAAGCTTCCGAGTTGTATGTCCTTAACTGGGTAACAGTGTGCGCTTCCCTCTGGCAGGCTGCCCGCCAATTCGCAAGTCAGTTGACCCGCCTCCTGATCTGCCATCCCATCTGTCTCTCCTTCCCATTTGTGCACATTCATGTTCGAAACGAAGTCCGCAATGTCGTCCTCGTTTATGATGGGGGTCGTGGCGTACATGACATTGTTTCTTATTTTTATTTTGTGTGACATGGTGTGGTGAAGTGGTTTTTTTTGAATAGGTGCCCTTACCACGTTGGGTTGATTAGAAAAAACGCAGGAAAGGGAGACAGATAGGAGCGGGACAACCAATGAGTGGTGCACTCGAGAGGGGGGGTGTTAAGTGGGGAGGGGTTTTATACGCACTAATGTGTAGCAATAAATGTACAGGCACATAAATATATGCAACGGGCACAGTAGGTGTTGTCACTGCGTCGAGTTTTTGTTCTACTGTTCCCCCCAAAAAAAGTGAGAAGGCACGCGGAGTGATGTACGAAATTATATGTGCGGAGACTCAAAGTGCGGGGGGAGGAAAAAAAACATAACAAAAAGGAAATAAGTGAAAATAAAACAAAAAAATACTACAATTTACTCATACTATTCTGTTTCCACTTAATAGAATTAAAACGCTTTCTGAAACAAAATCACATTTGTTCGTTACTAACATTTGGCACATGTGCGGATGCACCTGAGCGAAGAGGCACAATTTTTTTTTTCTTTTTTTAATTTGATGCCCCTAAAAAAGGTATGCATTAAGTGCTGAAAAAAAAAAAAAAAAAAAAAATTGTACCTCTTCGCGCAGGTGTATCAGCTAGGGGGAAAAAACATTAAGCTCCTTTTTCGAAATTGTTTTTGTTGATACATTGCAGATTGTGAAGGTGTAGTAGTCTGTGTTGGTAGTAACTCTGTGGTTGCCCTTGTGTCAATCTGATCTTCGTGTGCCTTCATATGAAACTTCCAATTTCCGTTGTTGTATCCCTTTTGTTTGACTAGCCCTAGAGGAATGGTGTCCATTCGATATTTACTTATGCGTATGTGTAAACATTGGTGTCTTTTCCCAATGTAACCCTCTGGTAGAACATGATAACTAACCGGAGCTTTCTCCGCACAAGAGGTCATGAATGGTACATGTAAGCATTTTCACCTGTGTTGTAGGCCCCCCTTTTTTTCGCGCAAAGAAAGTGTTTACCATTGCAAGGGGGTGTTGTAAACACCACATTTTGGTTATTAACCATTCCATTTTAGGAAAAGAAAAAAAAAAAAAAGTTAAAAAAGAGGTTTTCTTCATTTAAAAATTGGGAATGGAACATGGGGGAAATGCATTCCATTGCGGATGCAGCCTGCATTGAGATGGAAGCACATCGTATGAAGCTGCTACTTGGGGATGGGACTCAGAAAAAAAAAAAAAAAAAAAATGCCCTTAAAAATGTACACATGTGCACTGTTAAAAAATAATAAAAAAGGGAAATTGGGAATAGGACACCACACAAGAATCTGAGCCTTCTCGTGCATATGAGCGTGAAGTACCCCACATTAGTACGCACAAAGCGCACTCTTTTTTTTTATTATCGTGCTTGCCATTTTTGTTTCACACTTTTGTGTCCCATTTTGTGTGTCACTTTGTTACATGTGAGCTACCCCCCTTTTGGTAAACACAGCAACGGAGTACACAAAATGGGCACACGTGATATATTGGAGGCACGCCACGTCGTAACTGAGCAGCACAATTAAAAAAAAAATAGGACGGAAGAGTAAATGAACGAAAATACACACAGAACAGAAAAAGTGTTGTCTCATGCGCACATAATTGTGACGGCAGTGTGTCTGTAGCGGCCCGCCAAGAGGTGACCACGTAATTGTACGTGCATGGATATGGGAGTGTATTTTCCCATGCTCATGTGTATGCTTGCGCCGGGGAGACACTAAAACCTGGACGAAGGCCAGCTGTCCCTGGGCGCACAGCCATACAAGACGGTCATCATAATGGGCAGCAAAAAAAAAAAAAAAAAAAAAAAATTAAAATGTAAAGTGTAAAGTGTAAAATGAAATGCTGAAAAAAAAAAATGGCTAGAAAAAAACAGCTAGCAGTAAAAATGGCTAGCAAAAAATAGCTAGTAGAAAATGGCTAGCAACAATAATTAGCAGTCAAAGCTAACAAAAAATTGTGGACAAAACCTGAACATTCAGGGCAGCAAAAAAAAAAAAAAAAAAAAAAAAAAAAAAAAA